GACATGAAAACAATATAAGAGGCACTGAGAATCATGTCCCAATTTTGGAAAAAGCATTTCATACAGTATGAAAAGAGCTCAATGTTTATTAAAATAGCACTGGACATTCTGGAAAACTTAAAACATGCCACAGAAGCCTCTATGGTAAAGAGAAGGGAGAAGTTAGGGTTGAGAGGGTGAGGAAGTAAGGGCAGGGTAGAAGAGGCCAGCAGCCCAGGAATTTCCTTGGTACAGGTAGGCTGTGGTCTTTTTCACTGCCTAAGGCTGGGGCCAGAGCCTCCAGGAAAGGCATTGTGGTTAGTCCCAGGCACCCCAGGACAGAAAGGCTCTCTGGTGGAAATAGAAATGTACACTGGAACCATTGCGTCTGGGCCTCATGGTCCTTTCATGCTTTGATAGAGGGAAGGGGTAGAACAACTGTCTAATGGTGGGACTGGGAGAATGATCACAAAAAGGATGCCAGGCTCCTGAAAGTGGAGTGGGAACGGCTGATATCAGAGTGAGGGGCTAAGACCAGCCCTGTGATGGTTGGAGGAATCCTGGCTAAGTGAGGGAAAAGGAAAAGATAAAAGCCCCAAGGAGAAATCACTAGGACTTGCAGCCCCACTGCTCTGTAGCTGATTGCAGGCAGTCAGACACCCAAACAGACAGACAGACTAAGGCTGTTCTCAGGCATCATGGCTGAGCTCAGGCTACCCTGCTTTGCATATCTCATGAGCATTTTTGTGTTTGACCACAGCTGACTAAAGTATCTTTGCTTCCAGAGGATTTGCTAATAGAGATACAACTGCAAGAGAAAGGCAGATACTCCAGTCCAGACCAATAGGAAAAGCTGAACTTTCACCTTTCTCTCAGAGTTTATGATGAGGTTTGGAATTCAGACATATGTTCAGAAGACTTTTCCTTTCTTTTTTCACTTGACTTTCCAAAGGATGGCAAGGACCTTAGATGACAATTTTCAAACTAATATTTTCACCAAAAAGGATTAAATAAAAAACAACTAGTAATCTTTCTTTTTATATTTTGGTTTACAGTTTAGTATTCTCCTTCATGTGGAGCATGACCAGTTTTATACTTTACTGGAAAAAAAACAAAATGTTTTAATTTTATAATTTACTTTCCCAAGAGCCCATCAGATTTCTCCAAATACTCATCTAGAATATATCCTTCAATTTTTCATGAGACTCTGGCCATCAATGGGTAAGACTGTTCCATGACATCATGACACCTTAGCCCAAATACCCTCTCCTGTGGTTCTATTTCCTTCTACAGTCATGTGCTGCCACATCATGTTTCAGTAAAACAACAGATCGCATATATAATAGTGGTTTCATAAGAGTATAATGGGCCAGGTGCGGTGGCTCACGCCTGTAATCCCAGCACTTTGGGAGGCTGAAGCAGGTGGATCACCTGAGGTCAGGAGTTCAAGACCAGCCTAGCCAACATGGTAAAACCCCTTCTCTACTAAAAATACAAAAATTAGCCAGGTGTGGTGGTGAGCATCTATAATCCCAGCTACTTGGGAGGCTGAGGCAAGACAATTACTTGAACTCGGGAGGTGGAGGCTGCGGTGAGCTAAAATCACACCACTGTACTCCAGCCCAGGCAACAAGAGCAAAACTCCATCTCAAAAAAATAAAGTATAATGGAGCTGAGAAACTGCAACACCAGAATAAACAAACTTAACTGCAAACAAGAGAGCCAGGATTTGAACACCCCTGACTCCAGAGCCTGTGTGCTGAGCTACCAAGTCTTTCTGCTCTCACCAGTGTGATATACTAAATGTTCTGGGATCACCTCCTCCAAGCAGCCTTCCTGGCCAGCATCTCCACCCCACCTCCTCTGCTCTGGGTTGCATCCGCCCTTAATGTTCTCATAGCTCTTCATCAATTGTCTCCCAACAGGGACTGCATATCCCTTGAAGACAAGGTCCATGGCTTATTATCTTTATAATCCCAGCATCTCCCATAGTGGCTACCAGAGAGTGGGAGCTTAAGGAGTGTTGAAATAAGAGACACCTAGAGAAGATGCCAGAATTAAACATCTATTATTCTCATGTTGAATCTATTATATATATTTATACTTTCATTTTATATAATGGCATTACTATAATTATCCCTTTTACAACATAATATTGATGGCTAATTTAGATGAATTGACTCTATTTTCAAGTAATTCTGCTAGAGCTCTTTGACTATGGTAGGCAGCTAAAATATTCAAGGTATCAACAGTGGCCAAATGAATAAATAAAAGAAAAATAAAGGTCATATATTAAATAAAGTAGAATCAAATGGTAATTGCTAAGAGTGAAGGCCAAAATGTAACCAACCATGATGAATATTTAAGAGCTCCCATTTTAGCAATCGATGCCTTTCCCCCACAAGAACTCACTATAACGCACTGCTCAGATCCCATTGAAGGGAAGAGTTCCTGTCACCTGTCTTCCAGACTCCCTGTCAAGCCAGGCTTTCTACTCTTGAAAGGACCCTTAACCCTTGACTTCAGGAGGCTGCTAGCAAAAGTCATGACACAGAGAAAATGTGCACTAGCAGAGTCCTTACTAGGAGCACAAAGTTAGGAGCCCAGCTCCTGAGCAAGAGAACAGAAGAGCATAGTGGTAAATCTTGAGCCTATATCTACTAGCATTTATCTTTAGCAGGTTACTTAACTTCTTCAGGTCTCAGTTTCCTCATATGTAAAACAGATGTAAAACAGCCCCTACTTCATAAGGCTGCTGGGAGGATTTGGTAAGATGATGTATATAAAGTACTTCCCACATTACCTGGCACATCGTAAGTGCTCAGTAAATGTCAGCTACTGCGGTCTAGGCAGATTGGTGAGTGATAGCATCAACGTCTCACACAACAGAACCAGCCTGTGGGATAGCTTTAGCACAGGTGCCAGGACTAGAAAACTTCAATCCTCACTGAGTCCTGCAATAATATGTCAAGGGAACTGATATGGTATAGACTGCCTGGATGCAAATGATCAGCTTCTAGCTGTGTGAGCTTAGAAGAGTTTCTTAACGTCATTGTGCTTCAGTTTCCTCATGTGTAAAGTGGTGACAATAATTATACCTGACCCATACATTATCGTGATTAAAGGTGTATTTATATGTGTGTGTTGTGTGTGTACGTGTATATCCATATATACACACACACACACTACACATGTATGTATATATGTGTATATACATATATGGATATACACGTACACACACAACACACACAAAAAAACATATATGAACAGCTTTGGTACAAAACAATATAAATAAGCTGTTATTATTATTATTCCAGGCTACCTTCAGTCTTCACTTTCTACCCAACAGCTCTGTGTTGAAGTAGATAGAGAAATGACATTCTATGTGGTCAGAGGGAAATTTTAAATATCTTCCTACATTTGTTCAAATAAGCTGAGAAATCCTTGGTACTCAGTATTTCTACTGGACAAAGTTGGAGTCCAATATTTTGATAGGACCCTTTCTGTTTTTAAATTATTTATTAACCAGTTTGTGACAATGCACAGGAATTCATATTTTTCCTATAAAAGTCTGGTTCTCCTGCCCCTAAGTGTTTCAGAGAGAGAAAGAAAGAGGTCTGGCTCAGGAGAACAGTTTTGTCGAGTAAAAATGGCCCCAAAACTGTTTACAATTCTCATTTGATTACTCTTACCATAGAAAACAAAACAAAACCAAAAAAACGGTTATGAGGACTTTAAATAAAACTCATTATATGAAAAGGAAACGGCACAAGTGGCACACAAAACTACTGCATAGTTTCTGAATTAAGTCAAATGAAGTAAGGAAGCATCCAAGATAAGGCTGAAACACACCCTTCCCACTAGTGATCTGTTATTCTCTGATTAAAAAAAAAAAAAGCAAACAACTGTAATAGAAGCCAACTCTGGGCTATGTGAGTTCCTTGCAAAGGGTACCTTCTCTATTTCCTCCTACCAGTATCCACAGCAGTGCTGTACCAAGACATTTCTGCACTGTAGTGCTTTCATAGTCACTAGATCTCTCTCCCATCCCCAGCAGCACCCCCCTCAAGACACAGACAATTACATGGATGGTTTGGGGTGAGGGCGAGGAAAGAGAAGACTGAACAGTTTCTGATTCACTGCACACACGGGGTCCTGTTGTAAACACCTGGATACTCAGCAACCACCAGCTCTCCCCCATTATCCCTCCCCAGCACTTGGTTTCCAAACATGGAAGAAAAAGCCCCTCCAAAAGACTGTATCTCAAACTGTCACAACGCCCACCCCATACCCAGCACAATGCAGAATTCATCAAAATCATATTTAACAGGCCCCAGAAATTTCAAACTACTAAAATATTTCTGGTAGTGCTATCTGGATACATGCCTGTTGCATTTTAAGCTAGATGAGGTAAAATATTTGAAAGAATCCTATATTCTAGCCCTCCTAATATAATATATATCATTTATTATCCAAATTTGCCACATGTCAGAAAGCTACTACTCTGGTGGCAGCTCAGCAGCCTATGGAAAATGAGTCAGGACACTCAGTCTAGTTGCAGACAGCAGATGCCTGGGTCACATATCATCCATACAGGGGACAGCTCTAGAACCAGTGTCCCAGTGAGGCTCAGTCGGTGGCAAGACCGGCCAGAACAGGGAAACCTGTGACCCCGAGTAGTCAGAGTCCAGGAGCAGAGCTGGTGTGGGAGAAAGATTCCAAGGGAGACAACTGGTACTAAGGAGTTCACAGAAGAAAAAAGGAAGATTTGGGGCCTGAGGCAGCACACCACCCCAGGGAGCGGACCAGCTGAAGCTCAGTCATAAGGAACAGGACAAAAACCAGTCACCAGTGAGCCACACCAGATCCTTTCAAGAATTAGTGGTGTTTGGATATACAAACACAGATAAATACACCTAACTATGTATGAGAGAGAAACTTTAGTTAAGAAAGTATAGAATTAGGTATCTAGTCTCAGATTTAAGCCTCACAAGCTATGTGACCTTAGGCAAATCACTTACCCTCTCTCAACCTATTTCAGCAGCTGTAAATGGAGACTTCATCTTTCACACCTGTTGCACAATGTTGTGAGGACCTGATGAAAGAACAGATGTGAATACAGTTTATAATCCACAGTACTCAAGAGCCATAGCAGGGGCTTCTTTTCTTCCTTATTAACATACCTGAGGGATGCTCTGGAAGGATCAGATTCTGTGCAGCCTTTACAAGCCCCCTTTTGCCTTGCAATCTACTCTCTCTCTCTCTCTCTCTCTCTCTCTCTCTCTCTCTGAAAATCATTGCTCTAGACCAACAATGAAGCAGACATTTGATTATTCTAAGTTGACACTGGAGGCCTGGATGCCACGAGGCTCACAGATGTGCTTTCTTTAGCCTGTAGTTTGGCCTGCACAGGGTACCTCTTCTACTCCTCATGCTCCCCAAAATTACAAATATCCTGTACAACTTCTAATATTTAAAAATCAGTAGATTTCCATAAGGATATAGCTTTATAGCTTTATAGCTTCCCTTGAAAACATCAAAAGATCTAGCAACAATGGATCTAAATTCCCACACGGCAACACTATGCTACAACAGTGGTTCTCAAATCGCCAAGGCGTATTAAAGCAGAGACTGCAAGGCTCCCACTTTGAGAGTTTCTGAATCAGTGGGCTGAGACGGGGCTGAAAAATCTTCCATTTCTAACAGGTCTCCAGGTGATTCTGATGCTGCAGGTCCAGGGACCCATACTTTGAGAACCACTATGCTTGATCATTGTATGGGCTGCTCCCTTTACATACGGTGTGCAACTCCCATTTGCCGTAGCATCCACCACCTCCTATTGTCAGTGAGACAAGTAAGAATCTGATGTCATTTATCTGGCTTACTCTGTTGTTTTTCTTACACATGCAAAGCCATGTGACTGACTGAATCTACCTGGCCTCCGAGGCAATTGAGTTAGCAACCTCTGCTCCTTTGAGGCAAGAACTCTGCCTTACCTAATACAGCACCGTCTTCTCTTTCTCCCTCTCTTCTCTCTCTTTCTCTCTCTCTCTCTCACACACACACACACCATGCCATGCAAAGTCTTACACACAGCATTTAAATATAGTAATTGATTTTAATTTCTGCCTACAGTCTAAAACTTTCAAGGCCTGAAAATAAGAGACAGAAAGACTTTTAAGCAAGGAGTTTGTGTAGTCATCTCCTCTTATCTAATAGATCCAGAGCTAAGAGCAGGGCCATGCTGCCTCAAATTTCACAGAGGTGGGAGGCAAAGAATGAAACAGATCAATGGGTCAGCCATGAGTTCTCCTGAGATCCACTTACCTAATTAGCTTCTCAATCCTAGTACTTATCCCCAAATCCCCTAAAATGAGCTACCATCCAAGAGTATTATCAACTGAGCAATTCAACAAACTGCCTTCACTGATTGGTTTTGTTATTCACCAGCCTGAGGGCATGGGGGACACCTGGGTAATAACTTTACGTCTCTTCTTGCTTTATTTTCTATGAGCTCATTAATGAACCTGGAATAAATTCTGTGTGTGTTCTGAAATCCACTAAGTAAAGCCACTATGGAAAAGAATATGGAGGTTCCTCAAAAAACTAAATATAGAATTACCATTTGATCCAGCAATCCCACTTCTAGGCATGTATCCACAAGAATTGAAATCAGTATGTCAAAGAGATATCTACACTCCCATGTTCACTGCTGCAGTGTTCACAATAGCCAAGTTATGAAATCAACCTAAGTGTCCATCAATGGACAAAAGAAAGTGGACAAACTCAAAAGAAAATATGGGATATAAACACAATGATGTATTATTCAGACTTTCAAGAAGGAAATTCTACCATTTGAGACAAAAAGGATGAACTTGGAAGACATATATGCTAGGTGAAATAAGCCAGGCATAGAAAGATAAATACTGAATAATCTTACTTGTATGTGGAATATAAAAAAGTTGAACTTATAAAAGGAGAGAATGGTGGTTACCAGAGGCTGGGAGTCTAGGGAGTGGCTGAGGAGATGTTGGTCAAAGGAATACAAAGTTAGACAGGAGGAATAATTTTTTGAAATGTATTATACAATAGCATTATTATTATGTATTATTAACTATAGTTATAGCAATGTATTTTATATATCAAATTTGTCAAAAGAATATATTTTAAATGTTCTCAATAGAAAAAAATGGTAAGTGTGTGAGGTTATGGATATGTTAATTCACTTGGTATAATCATTCCATAATGCATACATATACTGAAATATCACATTGTACCCCATAAATATATACAATTATTATTTCTCAATTAAATATAAAGATTTAAATTTTTAAAAATCTACCAAAATGCAGGCCAGACTCTTTCCCTTGTCCACTCCCAACTCACAAGACCTATCTCTGTTCCTTGGACCAAAGCCATGGTTTGTGTAAAATGACCCCAAATTTAACTTCCATGAAGAGTTTAAATGTTTCTCTTCTCAACAGTGAAATTGGCAGTTCATTCTGGAAACTCTATAAAAGATACCAGTCATTAAGACAAACAAATTTTATCCTTCTTTCATGGGCTAACAGTGAATGAAAAGAGGGGTACACCAAGGTAATTTGTGAAGGCTTGAGCACAAGTCTTGAAATTAAAATATTCTTCAAATGTGACCAAAAAGGACGAAACGTCTAAATTAACTGATAGAGTCCTCTCCTGCACTGTCAAAAAGTAGCTTCAGAGCAGTATTTTTATGGAAAAGGGCCCGGAGGCCTATTACAACTTCCCAGGATTATACAGTTATAATCAAAGACAGAGATGAACTCATTCTCAAATCCACAGCCTCAAAACCAATCATCATCATTATCCATACGTCTTGCATCAAGGACATACCTTCTCCACAAACTGTCTCCAAAAAGCTTAAGGACTCATAGGCTGAAGATGGCTCAAAAACGAAATGGAGCATGATGATTACTCCTTAAAACAAGGAAAGAGAAACAGAAAATTAAAACATAGTGAATCAGAGAAAAGACATGCAAACACACTTTTACAGTGACAAATCATTCCCAGCCCAGACAGACTTTGCTTTAGTTTAGTTGAATGTAATAACAAATTCCATGAAAGAATAGATCTCTCAGAAGGAGATTGGGAAGTAGAAACAAAGGTAAAAGAGTCTCAGACACAAGTTTTCAAAGCCCATCAAGCACCCCCAGGGAGAGCCTTGGCCAAGCATCCCAATCCTTAAAGAACAGAGATGCCTAAAATCTGTGAATTCCAGGAAAGCCAAAAGGAAAAGACTAACAGATTTGACCACATAAAAAGTAAACACTTCTATAAGGTAAAAGATCCCATAACAAATTCAAAAGGTGAATGAATATAGACCAGGAGAAAATATTTGAACCTATGTCAGAAAAAGGGTTAATATTATTTATTATATTATAAACATCCCTCCACGTACACACATACCATACCCTCCACCAAAAATGATCAAGGACAAACAACCCAACAGAAAAAATAGACAGGAGAGGAAATTCATAGACAAATCATGAAACAGGAAATGCAAACACCCCAAAAACGTGCAGAAAAATTCACAATCTCACCTGTAGTCAGGAAACATGCAAATCAAAATAAAGATGTATTGTTTTTATTGATCACACAGCTAGGTGGAAAAAAAAACAAACTAAAAAACTAAAAATATCAGCATCACTTAGGACTGGCAGGAATATAAGGAAACAGATATGCCTCTATGTTGCTTGGGCTACATAATCCTTGGAATATAATTTAGCCATGCCTAATAAAAATAAGTATGTTCTTTGATCTCAAATCCCTCTTTGGAGAAGTGCATATTGAGGTTATGCAGTGCCAAAAAATAACCTCAACATTCATCAACAAGAGAAATAATTGAATAAATTCCAGACATCCATATGAATATTGTGAAGTTATTAAAAAGAACAAAAATAGCATTAATTTGGGAGATAGTAAAAGGCAGTGGTAGCACTTTGGACTCAAAAGCCAGATTGCCCAAGTTCCAGTTGCTGTTCCCACAATCACTAGCTGTGAGACCTTGGGCAAATTAATCACATGTCAGTTCCTTATCGACCCACTGGGGACAATAGTGCCATGGTAGTTGTAGGGTAAATGAGGTGAAGCACAGGGCCTGGCATGCAGCAAGTGCTAGAGTGATGTCCATGAGATTCTGTTGGGAGACAGAGAGATGGCACAAAATGAATAGCATGAATCTATTTAAGTTAAAAAAAATTGTTTTATACAGTGGACTCTGTGTGTATGGGTATGGTGTTGGTGGTGAGAGGAAAGGATAAAGTTTTAACTTTTTCTTTCCACATCTCTCTGTTCTTTGGCTTGTTACAAAGAACATGTCTTGCTTTTGTCATTTGGAAAAATGATTCAATAACATTTTTTGGAAGTGGGGTAGATGAGCATGATTAAAGGCATAATTAAAGACGGGGAGTGAATCTGGAAACCGACAAGTTTGGTGTGTCTGGAGCACAGGCCCTGTGATACACAGCAGTAGGATATAAGGATGGAGAGTACATATAAAGGGTCGTGTGTTCAAGGGAGGGAGTGTAGACTTTAGCCAGATATTCATGGAAAGTTCTTAGGAAGAAAGGAATGCAAAGTATCAGCTGTGCTCTGGCAACCTAAAAAACTGATTCCACCTCCCCACTGAAACAAAACTTTCAGTGGCTCCTCTTTACTCCGTATAGGGATAAAGTCCAAGCCTAAGTCCACGAGCCTTATCTGCAGCCTTCTCACCTCACCCTCCAGCTCTTCACTACCACCGTGCTCAGCTACCTGTGTTTCTTAGAAAACTCTGCCCTCTCCACGTCCAGACCTTGGTTCAGGTCACAGCTTCTACACACAGTGCCCTTCCTCCTCATGCTGTGCTAACTCCTCAGAGCTCACCTCAATCCCCTGAGGCTGTTTCCCATCTAGATCCTCCCAGATTACACCAAGATTATGCTTAAAAAATACTTATACATTGATTTATAATTGTCAGTTTATTGTCAGCCTCCCCAACTAGACTGCAAATCTTTAAGAACTGGTACTTGATATGATTCCCTGTTGACTCCTGAATACCCAGCACAGAACACAAAGGATAGAGATCTTGAAATATTTGTGAAATAAATAAATGCTTTTAAATACATGAGCCATCTAACGAATTTCCCTTTCTAGTATTCAATGTTTTTCAAAAAGCTTTCTGATTTAATTCACTATCCTATATATGTCAGCCCATAGGCAGAAATTTTTCAACACATCATATCAGTGCAACTCTGAGTCCATGTGACAGTTATATTGCTCATTAGAAACTAATAAATTGGCATAGGGATTTTATATGTCACTCTTGTAACTCAGTTCATGAAAGTTCTTTCCTGGAGAAAAAAAATTTCCATATGCTGCCAAAAGCAGATTTCTTAGCATTCAAAACGAAGGGCCACAACTCTGAACTATGAAAAATTAGTATGATGAAAGGCCTTTTCTGGGTACATCTGGGCCTTGATTTAATAATTTATTCAGCAAATATTTAGTAATCCCCACCAAATGCCAACCTTTGTTCTAAGCTTTGAGGATAGACCAGGAAACAAGACAGAAAAGCTCTACCACCATGAAATCACATTCCACATTCTACTAGGGGCTAACAGACAAACAGATAATAAACATGTAAAAAATAAGATAATTTCAGGTAGTGCTAAATGCTATGAAGAAAATTAAGCAGGATAGAGAATGATTAAAGTTGGGGGAGAGGAGGTGAGAGCTCTTTAGACAGGTGGTCAGGATAAGGCTTCTCAGAGGAGAGGATATTTGAGCTGAGACTTGAGGGATGAGAACAAGTCAGCCAAGAGAAATGGGGTAGAGAATTCCAGACCTAGAGGAAGAGCAAATGCAAAATCTCTAAGGTGGGAATGAGGTTAGAGTATTCAAGCAAAGACAGAAAAGCAATATGACTGCATAATAATGAGCAAGGAAAGCAATTTGAAAGCAATCAAAGGGAAGGTATAGAATAGGTCATATAGGCCATGATAAGGAGTTTGGATTTTATTCTAATTGCAAGGCAAAGACATTAGTGAAGTATAGGAAGGGAAGTGATAGGTCTGATTTGTATTGTTAAATGGCTAATAACAGAATGAACTCTGAGAAGACAAGAGTGGAAACCAAGACGCCAGTCAAGAAGCTGTTGTCATGGTTCAGATGAGAGCTGCTGATGGCAAGCACTAGGATAGTAGCTATAAACATGGTAGGTGGTCAGTCAGATTTGGGATAATATCTTGGAGGGCCAATGGAACTTGATAGATTGGATACTGGAAAGAAGAGAAAAAGAAGAATCAAAGTTTTAATCTCTTGGTTCTCTCATCAGAAATTTCTACACCTGCATACCGCTAAAAGTCAATTGTTCTAATGCAGATCTTTCATTTAGCAACCATCACAATGTAAAGCTAGTCAAAATTTCTGCTTCTGCATGACAATACTCAAACTATGTGTGCCAATTTATTACAGAGGATTCAAAAACAGTTTATTTTGCATTAAACTAAGGCTCTTAGCTTCTGAGGGGTTTTTTTGTTTGTTTTTTGCAATCTGAAAAGCAGCTCATTTTCTAAAGACCCAAGTACTTACAAAACAACATCAATTTGTATCCCCTTTAAAAAGTACCATTTCTATATTAGAGATCTATAGGCACATAGCTTCTATTACAGTAATCACTTCTTTATTTTGCTTTTTAGTCTTATTTTCTCATATGATGGCCATGTTTCATATCACAGTTTTATGAACGTTAAAACCAAGGCTTAGCAAGCCAGACCGCTTATAGCACAGGTAGAAACAGAATGGCAAGCTGGCTTCCTTAGAGTCAATCCTTAATGTATTCATTCATCTTCTGTGAAACTCCAGCAATAGTGACTCTCAAAGAACTAACTGTTTAAGGCTATAGAGCTATTTTCTTTCTCCTGAACCTAACTCTTTTGAAGCTTTATATATATTGCTCAGTAACAGACTCTTAGAAAACAATATTTTGAAAATATAATTACTATGTACAAATCTATGAAATGTATATAAAATATTATTAAAGGGAAAAAGCAGGATTGAACATACCCTCATAGCCAAAAAGAACTTAGGAAAATTCACAGTACTTATTGTATTAATATGCACAGTACTGTTAAGGACTGAGAGTATTTAGGGCTTGGAAGTAAACCACACTCCTCTTTCTCATCAAGGTATAAACCACAATGAGAGACTGCATTGGATACTGGAGAGAAGAGAAAATAAAGAATCAAAGTTATGATCTTTTGGTTCTTCTCATCAGAAATTTCTGCACCTGCATGCTGCTAAAAGTCATTTGTTCTACTGGTGAACTTCCACTCAGTAATCATAATGAAGTAAAGCTTGTCAATATTTTGTATACGTTTCATAGATTTGTACATAATTCAATCTAACACAAAAGAGTAGAGAGCTGAAAACTACTACGCCTACTGATAAACCTGATGCTGGAGACTGCATGGCAACAATGGGCCTCCCAACATCAAACTGTAGGATGAGGCAGGCTTACACTGAGGTGCTAACTGGCAGTGCAGGGCAATGGCAATCCTCCCCTCCCCTCACTCCACAGGCCTATCCCTGTAAAATCTGCAGCACAAAGAAATAGGCCAGAAGGCATGATTCCTGAGAGAAGCCTGGCCCTAAAAGTAAGACTGGCCAAAGAGGCCAAGGTTTCTCACGGAGTTTCTCACCATCAGGTATCTTACTTTATGGAGAAGAGGAAGGGGTGACCCAAGAGGCCAGGAGTGTTAACAGGAACCCCTGTAACTACATCACATTCCCCACTCAATTTTATTCTCTTAACTTAGTAGTCTTCACATCGGCGTAAGTCTACCCTGGGATTCCATGACTACTTTCTAAGGAGAATACAGGCATAGGAAATTTTAAGGAAATCTATTCCTTTATTCAACTTTCACCTATTCTTTTCCAAAATTGAGCTGCCTGAAACATGACTGAGGTTGAGATGTCACATCAATTCTATTTTTACAACTCCCTTTAAAAATCATTCTTTAAGCTTCAAGTCAGTGACAAGTTAAAAAAAAAAAATCATCTTTTCCCACTTATAAAAAACAGGCATCTTCTTACCCATCCCAGATCCTTCTATAGCAAATTGCTCTAATGTGCAAAAAAACCTCTAAGGCATACAAAGGAACAATTCCAAATACTGTCTTGAAATCAATATTTGATTTAATCAGGGTATAAGAAACCTACATGAGGATTTCCTGGCTTTCCTCATATATATTTCTGTTAAGAGAAAAGCATGGTGCTAGAAATTGGGTATTTTGGTCTATGTTGAGGTATTCTGAGTGTAGATACACTGGGGCAGGGCAGGGGCTGTGCTAATTTTTGTCTAATGCTATTTCCTCTTCCATTTCCTGATGATGTCAAAGAACACGGTTGAGAGAGCAAACAAAAATACTAAAGGAGATTGTACCCTACTTCATCCAGATAACGAACTCACAGTCAGTTTCCAGGCTCCATATATACATCTCAAAATTCGGATATGCAAGATTTGTGAAAATCATTCTGGGAAATACCAATTAGCTACAAGGCACACCTGCTCCGGAATGAGAGCATTTGATGTAAAATCTCATTCTCCTGTGTCTCAGTTGCAAATTCCAAATGATTTCAAGGAAAAGAATGTAAAAAAATTCCAAATTTCCTTTCAATAGATCAGTGTCACATGAAAAAGGAACATATATAACTAGAAAGTTAATGTTTCTTATTTTCTTGAATAGATATTCAGATCTTAGGAGAAAATATTCTAATTAACTTTTGTCAAAAGATTGAAACAGTAAATCTATATTCATTTTTTTACCCAAGTATGTCTGCTCACTGTTATTTGCTAAACATTTCTCACCTCATTATTCATTCCTACCATTCATGTAATAGATTTAGATACATTCTTTTCTATTGTAAACAACACATTTAACAACAATCATTTATTCGTTTTTGTAAGCCCTACACCTAATTATCTTCCAACATATTTTCCCATTTTGTTGCCTAGCAAAAAGTTGTATTTACCTATAAATACATGAACTAATTGAGGAGAGGGGAGCTCCATTCACTTCACTGAGAGATATATTTCCAACAAAATTTTAGTTCTCTTTAGTAATTATTTGTAAAAATTTATAATGTAGGTATGATTATTATGTACTAACAATAATTGTAATTATAATTCAAAATAAATTTTTGCCACTTAGAACCTTATAGTCATAGGAATTTTTTTAAATTACAAACTTTTTTTTTTTTGAGACAGTCTCTCTCTTGTCATCCAGGCTGTAGTGCAATGGCATGATCTCAGCTCACTGCAACCTCCACCTCCCAGGTTCAAGCAATTCTCCTGCCTCAGCCTCCCAAGTAGCTGGGATTACAGGTGTCCACCACCACATCCAGCTAATTTCTGTATTATTAGTAGAGACGGGCGTTTCACCATGTTGGCCAGGTTGGTCTCAAACTCCTGAGCTCAGAGGATCCACCCACCTCGGCCTCCCAAACTGCTGGGATTACAGGCGTAAGCCATCGTGCCCGGCCTATAAACAACTTACTATTGTGGAAAAGAATAATAGAGTAAGCAATAAAATACATTTGGGCACAAAATATATTAAAATAAAATTCTGTTAGGGAAGTAGAATGAAAATACAAATTCAAATAGGAAAAGGCATAATGTAAAATTTCTGTGAAAATAAATGATGGTATTCCTTTTCTATGGATTTAGATTTCATTTAGATTGCATTTTAAGTAACATAATCTTTTTTATTTTAAAATATTCACATTTATATTACGCAAAAAATTACATGTTTTGCAACTAGGGTCACAATATTTTACATGTCAACTTAAAAACTATTTTAGGGATGTGTCAGCAAAAGTATGAAGACCATTACCTTAACCCTGTGGGCTTATCCACTGAGATCAGGTTGGGATATGGTTATTTCCTAGGGTGAGAAGTCAGCAGTCAATTGGAGTAATCCTGCTCCCATCTTCGTGAGACCACTTCTCCAATACTGATTTCACCTGTTTTGTAGGACTTCCTGGGGCCACTAGTAAACTGTAGAGTCTGTCCCCAAAATGCCCTGAATGGGTCAGAACAATATATCGATTACATCAGTTCCAATGCTATTCTGTCCCCAAGGCTGTAATTCACAATATGTTCTATTGCCATCTCAAACTATGTCCTGTCAGCTTGTCTAACATTATCAAAATTTCTAAAATGTGATCAAATACTTTAATAACTAAGAACCAAGATGTTCTCAATTTGATTTTGACCCTCTCTCAGTATTAATTTTCCAGAGAGAAATTAAAAGTTCAGAGATTAAATCACTCTAAATTATAGCCCAAAGTAATCACTACCAACTTCATGTTAAAGTCCAAAGTCATGAATGGCCAACACTGAACTCTTTCACTCTGTGAATTAAAGTTCAAACAGGCTTTGTCACTCCCTGGAAGTGAACTTAGCTCCAAACCTGAAATTTCCCTTCCCCCAGGGAGCTGACACTGTTCGGCTTACCCCAAGCCTCCCTTGGCAGGAACAAGCTCTTTTAAAACTTGTGTGAGGTAGCAGAGGAGAAAGCACACTTTCCATGATCAGGATGGCTCCCAAGAAAAAGCGGAGAGGAAGAAGGTGAGCTGTCCAGGAGCCAAACTTACATGTCAGTAAACTCACTGGTGGCCCTGGAACAGAGCATCAAATAATATGTTCATGGCACTCCATGTTTCAAGAAACATTGAAATGGGGAAAAAAAATATTTTTCCCTAAAATAGGGAAAAATTACAAGAAACAATCTCTCATATTTAAGAATTATTTATTGAATATCATGGTGCAAACTTCTGAGCTAGGTTCACTGGGAAATGCATAAGTGAGTCAAAGCTGGATGCTGCCTACCAACCAACCACTAATATTTCTAACACAATTATTATATATGTCAGTGACTCATATTTTAGATTTTTGTTATAGCCCCACCCTATTTCCAGTACCAATTTTTCTATTAGTGTGCAAAAGTTGATACCAAACAACTCCAAAGAGCTAAGTGACTCAGGACAGCAGAGATGTATTTCTTATTCATATACCTATGTATGGGTTAGCAGGGAGCCATTTTCCACTTTGTCCTGTCTCCGAGACCCTGCTGGAGTAGTGATTAAAGATGGCCACATTTTCTTGGAATTCTGTGGTTGACAAAAATGTTTGTAATAAATAAAGATGGCCACAAATTCTTTGACACTCTCCCTCCATCCCAATCAAGTGTTTATTTCCTCTCCCCTTAAAATTGAGCTGGCCCTGTGACTGCTTTTACCAATACAATATGTCATTTCCAGACCTAAGACTTACAAAACCTGGAAGTTTTTGCTTTTTTGCATTTGAGAATCCTAAGCCACCATGCATGAAGTCAGGCTACTCTGCTGAAGAAGCCATGCGAATCAGAGTCTTTGGAACCGCATGGGTAGAGCTCAGCTACTCTATCAACCCACTTGAGCCTCCAAAAACTCCAGCCCCAGACAATACCAGGCTGGAACCACGAGAGACCCTAAGTAAGATTAGACAACTGCCCATGAGCCTAGTCAACCCACAAAACCGTTACAGATAATAAAATGGTGACTGCTTTAAACCATTAAGATTTAAGGTGCTTTGTCATGGAACAATAGATAATTAAAATATTTCATCACTGTCGGCAGAAAGAGAGCAGGATAAATGTTCACAGGCTCTTAAAGCTTTTATTTGGAAATGACACAAGTCACTTCCAATCACATTTCATTGGCCACTCTTGAGGTAAAAGGAGTAGGGAAATCCAAATTACTATGTGTGTGGAAAAAGAAATAGAAATATTTTATGGCTAGTACTAATATCTTCCAGAGAAGAGATTACAAGTAAATCAGTAAATAGATGAAGTGTCAGGGGGAAAAAGCTAACAATAGGAGAAAAGAATGTAGATGACGGATTCTTCAAGATATCCTCTAGGCAAGGTAGGATGTAAGAGGAAAAGGAGGGTAGAAAGAAGTCCCAAAAAAAAAAAAAAAAAAGCATCCACAGAGAAAAGTAGAGGGATCTAAAGCACAGTTTCAATAACAGAATAGTCAAGAAGAGCATAAAATGAAAGGCCAAAATGGGTGGTACAGACAAGGAACACATAGAAATTCAAGGAAGATAGGTTAATGTGGGCTGATAGAGGCCTCAGGTGGAGGTAGAATTAAAAGAATGGAAAGGCAATGGAATTTGTATCGTTGGAAATAAGAAGGGCATGCTCAGTGAGGAAACAGCACGAGTCAAGTCCTAGAGTGGGGAATGCACATAGCATATATGGGGCAAGGGACTAGGTATTGTAAGGGGAAATGTATCATTTAATAGAGGGTATCCAAGGGATTGTTTGCTGGAGAACGGGAAGGCAGGGAAGGGACTTACAGAGGCCCTTGAGTGCAAACTGAGCTTTCTGAGTTGTCCTCTTTAAATTACAGAGCACCCCTGGAGATTGGTGTCTGAGCAAAGGAAATCAGAACACAGGTCTAGTCCCTTCGTGTGGGAATGAAATAAGAAAAGACTGACAGCAAGTCACCAATCGGAAAGTTATTGCAGTACTCAAAGCAGGAGTATCCTATTGGGACAAGAGCTTGTTACTTACAGTGGAAAATAAGAACTCCCAATTAGTCCAGTTCAAGGGGCTTACAATGAGAATCAAAAAAGCTGGGGTTTCCAGGAGGCTTCAAGTGTGAAGAAGTCGAGACACTATTTTATCAAGGGTATAAAGGAAAACTTTTTACTTCACATGGCAGCCAATGTTGGTTAGCTACCCAACATTCCCCACCTCACTTCCTTGACAACAGAACTTTAATACTGTCCAATTCCTCTCTTCCCTCCAAACCAACTGGAAAAGAAACCTACACACACATAATTCAGCCCCAAAGTAAATCCTGAGGTTCTAAGCTAGTGGTTCTCAACCAGTAGCACACCTCTGGGGGTGGGAAGGGAAAAGGGTTGCTTTATGGTGTCACAATGCCTGAGGTGTGCTACTGACATTTAGTTGGAAGGAATCAGAGATGGTAAATGTCCAGCAATGCTCAACACAGTCCTGAATAAGAACTAGAAAAGTCAGATAAACACTAGGCAATCATGGATGTCCCATGCTCCTTGTCTGTTACTGCTTTAGGGACAGCTAATAGCCCAGTTCTGGTCAATAAGATATAAGGAGTGGCCTGCTTCTGGGATGCTTTCTTCTTTCCTATCAATGTTGTTCCAACTGTATATGGCTCTTAGGACTGCTATAGCTATCTTCTCCTCAAAACCAGTTTCTTCTTTATCTTCCTATTTCCTTCACTGGCACCTCCCATTTTCTATTACTAAGTCCTAAAGCAATTTTGACTTCTCCTAACTCTTAACCTTAAGGTGATTATTCCTTTAGGTTTGTCTGGGATAAACTGATTTAACTCCTGTTCTCTGGCTATAATTATTAATGCCCTACTTTACTTCCAAAAGTGTTCCATATTGAAGGATAGAGTATATGGTTATTCATTACCAATTGTGTCACTCCCCTCAAGTACCTCTAATGTAGGGCTCAGCAATATGGCTTATAAGTTGTTTCTGCACCTCTCCAGGACTAAAAAATAGAAGTTTTTACATATTTAAATGATTTTTTTAAAAATCAAAAGAATATTTCCTACCTGAAATTATATTAAAAGTTCAATGTCGGCCGGACGCGGTGGCTCAAGCCTGTAATCCCAGCACTTTGGGAGGCCGAGACAGGCTGATCACGAGGTCAGGAGATCGAGACCGTCCTGGCTAACACAGTGAAACCCTGTCTCTACCAAAAAAAAAAAAAAAAAAACTAGCCGGGCGAGGTGGCTGGCGCCTGTAAGTCCCAGCTACTCAGGAGGCTGAGGCAGGAGAATGGCGTAAACCCGGGAGGCGGAGCTTGCAGTGAGCCGAGATCTGGCCACTGCACTCCAGCCTGGACAACACAGTGAGACTCGTCTCAAAGAAAAAAAAGTTCAATGTCCATAGTTTTATTGGAACAAAGCCGCACTCATTCAAGTATTGTCTATGGCTGCTTTCTCGTTATAAGGTAGAGTTGAGTAGTTAAGGCAGAGACTTAAAATATAATCGGGCCCTTTACAAAAAATGTTTGCCAACCCCTGCTCTAATGTCTCCACTAACTCTGAGTCTCCTCACCTCACGCACAAATACCCCAGCCTACTGATTTCCCACTCTTTCCCCTGCCTCTAATCCTTCAGACATCTGGCTGCTATATAACCTCTCTACAAGAGTATCGACCCTGTCACTTGTCCCATCAGTATCCTCAGTGGCTCCTCCAAAACCGACAGTGAAAGGTTCAAACCTATCCTATGAGACTCAAGACAACAGACAAGGGCAAGAGAGAACACGTCAAAAGAGTCGAGTGCGTGAGACTTCAGAGGTCACTTTTTCACACCAGAATTTTAAGGTTTGAGAGGCTAAAAGTCGTCCCAAGTACATAAAACAGAATCTGCAAATAAGAGTGAATGACGAATAGAAAGACGACCTCAACCTGTCCACTTCCCTACGGCCGCAGAGATTATGATTCAAGGAATAACGAGACTCTAAATCCTTTAAAATTCTACAAAAGCAGCCTTGGCCAAACCCAGCGGGGAGTGGCTGCTCGGTGCCAGGGCGAGGAGCACGTAGACTGCCGATGCCAGAGAAGCCCGGTGCGGGCTCCGTGCTTTCTCTCCGTTCCAGGAAGACCCGAGCTCGTCGCCAAAACTTCTCGCCGCTTCCCGGTCTGCGCGCCCAAGCTGCCGGTTTCCCGAAAAACGCCACAGCGCCCTGGGAAAAAGCAGACGCCCCTCACGGGTTTGCGCCTTGCAGCTCAACTATGCCCCAGCCTCCCACAAGCCACCTGTCCTCCAACAGGCGTCCCGCCTGGATCTGCCCCCGCCGTAGCCGCCAAGGCGCACGTGAAGCTCCCGGGCGGAGCGAGCGCAAGAAGGCGGGAGTTTGCGGACGCGAACCCAGGCCTGGGAAGCGAAGCGATTCCGGGGCGCACGCGCAGAGCCAGGGAACTGGAGGGGCGTGCCTCCCGTAGGGGTTACGGAGCAAGAGGAGAGCGCGTGGCGCTCAGGAGCCGGCGCACGCGCTGTGGTCTCGCCCCGCCCAAGAGCGTCCGAGCGGCCGCCGTAGCATCTTCTCTTCAGACCCGCCCCCCTCGTCTACTTAACCTAGCGGAGGCTTGCAGCTAGAGCAGGGAAGTGTGGGGCGAGGTGGGCGGGGCGTCGCACGCGTGCGCGGCCAGCGAAAGAAGGGAGGCGGCGGGAGAGATCCGAGACAACGTTACCCCGTCAACACCCAATCAGGAGCGGCCCTGACCCCGCCCCCTCTCCTCACGTTATTGGCTGGGAGGCCCCCAGATGGGCGGGGCCGGCCGTGGGGTTGGGGAGGGCAGGGGGCGGGGAGGAGGAGGAAGGCGCTGGCGGGCAGTGATGGCGGCGGGTGATGGGGACGTGAAGCTAGGCACCCTGGGGAGTGGCAGCGAGAGCAGCAGCGACGGCGGCAGCGAGAGTCCGGGCGGCGCGGGAGCGGCAGCGGAAGGGGGCGGCTGGGCGGCGGCGGCGTTGGCGCTTCTGACGGGGGGCGGGGAGATGCTGCTGAACGTGGCGCTGGTGGCGCTGGTGCTGCTGGGGGCCTACCGGCTGTGGGTGCGCTGGGGGCGGCGGGGTCTGGGGACCGGGGCCGGGGCGGGCGAGGAGAGCCCCGCTGCCTCTCTGCCTCGCATGAAGAAGCGGGACTTCAGTTTGGAGCAGCTGCGCCAGTACGACGGGTCCGGCAACCCGCGCATCCTGCTCGCGGTCAATGGGAAAGTCTTCGACGTGACCAAAGGCAGCAAGTTCTACGGCCCGGGTGAGGAGTTGGAAGGGGAGGGGAAGGACCCACTACAGCTCAAGCACGACCCCCTTCGGACGGGGAGGCCTCTGGGCACCGGGTTAGTTTGCCCAGCCTTCTCGTCGCCTGGACCCCCGCGCCTCGGCCGCCGCACCTGGGACGGCTCGCCCCGCCCCTACGCATACACCGTCCCCCCGCAGCTGCGGGCACCTCCAGCTCTTCTCCCGAAAGTAGGGTCCCCGCTGGCGCCCCAGCGACCAGCTCTCAGCATTCATCTTTGTTCCATGCCATTTCTCCTCGCAGTCTTTTTTTTTTTTTTGGCTGGATTTTTCAAAATCGTTACATTTGTCACCGATCAACGCTGGCCCTTAACCTCTTTTGAGTCTCCTAATTCCTGGGGTGGTTGGGGCACCAGGGAAGGGAGATTTCTGAAGTTGGGACCTAAACTAAAGTTTTACGCTCTGTAATTCACAGCTTTCTTTTCCTTGCCCCCGCCCCACGCTCCTTTTTTTTTTTTTGGCCACTGATCTTTTTCCCTCGCTGTATTGCTCTCCATAAGGCCACGTTTAGGGGCATGTAAAGTCCCAACCCTCCAGTCTCTGAAGTCCGGACGAATAAGCAACACCTCGGACTCTTTTTAAACCAGTTTTAGTTCGGAGTTGCTTTCCATGATTAACAAGGTATGTGGGATGAGGACAGACCAGAATGCAGAGCTTATTAAAGACTGGTAAGGATATTCGCCCTGAGTTTTGGGGGTGGAGCTCCTATACCCAGCAGGCATGTCTCTCGTTTCTTTTTTTCTTTTTTTTTTTTCTGCTTTTCAAGTACACGTTGATAATAACTTGTGTTTTCACTTAGCAGAACTGAGGAGAAAAAACTTAGAAGAGTCGTAGATTCATACCCCCATGTGCCAGTTATGCAAGTTAAAGATTTTTAGAAATTTGTTTTCAGAGAACTTTGTGTAGGGTAGTTGATTTAGAAGCCCTTGTTTTACAGTGTGGTTATAGCATACATTTTGGATTAGGTTAATAAACTCCAGACTCATGGAACCTGTTGGTATATCATAGAGTTGAGCAACACTGTACATCCTGGTTGTGCACTGATTAGTACTAAGCTTTAAAAAAAGAAAAGTGGTGACTACAATAAGAATAAATAATTAAATTAGAGACCTAAAGTGACCTGGTATTGGAGAGAGTACATCCAAGCCTTAAAGTCACAGGGTTGGCAGTCTGGAAATAAGCTGGTTTTCTCCTTAATTTAATCCCTAAGTGTTTGAGATTTATTGACACTTAAAAATATATACTTCTGATTTCAGTGGTTGGTAGCTGGAAGATATTTTAGAAGTGCTTTGGTTTGTAGTTCGTTCATTGGACTAGAGATAAGAAATAGATTTTTGTTGTTGAATTACGTAATTTATTTCTTAGTTGTTTGTACTTCTGTGTATATATACACATTTAATCCAACCAAATGAACACATAGCTTACAGAGTTTTTGCTTCTAGTTATATAAATGTGAACACAAGGTGTCTACTGAAATCTTATATCAGCTGAAATGGTTAATACATTTTTGTTTACTTAAGCACACGTGGGACAAGAGAGCAGGGCCAAAGTACAGTATTTAAACAGGCCAAGTGAAGTAAACCTTTTTTAAATCAAGGATTTACACAGCATTTTATACCTAGTTCAAGCTTTTTCCCCATTAGTATTAAAATGTGTGTTAAGTGATTAGAAATCCTGTACAAGTTTAAATTTTTAATATAGACCTTACCCAGCTGAAAGATCAGCTTTTGTACCCTCTGTCTGAACTGCCACTGAAGAAAACAAAGTATTAGTACAAAGAATTGTATTAGTCCTCACACATTATGCCTTGGCAGTATCTGAAAATAGCTAGGAGAGACAGTCATAGAGACAGTTTGGCAGCCTCCAGAGGCAAATGTTTGTTCTGTGATAGAAATTAAAAATTAAAGCCAGGCGCGGTGGCTCACGCCTGTAATCCCAGCGCTTTGGGAGGCCTAGGCAGGTGGATCACCAGAGGTCAGGAGTTCGAAACCAGCCTGGCCAACGTGGCAAAACCTCGTCTCTACTAAAAATATGAGAAAATCAGCCAGGTGTGGTGGCGGGTGCCCGTAATACCAGCTACTCGGGAGGCGGAGGCAGGGAGAATTGCTGGAACCCAGGAGGTAGGGGTTGCAGTGAGCCGACATTGCCCCATTGCACTCCAGCCTGGGCGACAGAGAGACTCTATATTAAAAAAAATAATAAAAATTAAGAGTCATAGGTGGTAGATTGCTTTTTTATGGTAAGTGCACTGAGGGAGGCTCTTGAGATTACAGTGGAGAAGTCAGTTTTAGATTAGTTTCTGCCAGTTCCTAGGTTCTGATGAACAACCTAAGAGTGATATACAGTTAGTATTCTACAGTTAATCAACAGCCTAACAGATATTTGAATATTTAATTATTGAAAGGAACCTTAAAGAAAGCCAGATCATTTTATGGGCTCAGAATATGTTGATATTGCATATTAATAGAAAATGTAATAAGTAGTACTTTTCAAAAAATCTTAAAGTCAAATTTCTGGCTGTAAAACAGATACAAGTTCAGTTTTGCTTTTAATTATTTTCATCCTCATAAATTAAGCAGTTTTGTAGCAGAATAATTCAGAAGCAGTAATTGTTAGTTTCTGTGCCTAACCAATATCTACTCTAATTTCATAGTAATGGTTTTAGGATTAAATTTTGTGAGATTTTTCCATAATGCTGAACATATGTTTATTTTTAGACATACATTTTTAAAGTTCAGA